TACCATAAAAAAACTACAACTTTATTTTCATCTTCATCATCCTTATCACTATCCATCATCCAGGTATCATTGTCTACTTCTCGAGATGTGATCTGCTAGTATATTGGTGCAAGTGTTGATGATGAGTCATATCTGTCATCGTTACAAAATATGGTTTAGTATTTATAACTAATGACTGAATTGGCAATGAAGAGGGATCAGTAGACTCGATGTCCACATACAAATCAATGAATCTCCCGTAAGATTGATCAACAAATGCATGGATCGTGGAAGTTGTTTGTTGACCTTAGAAAGTTATACAAACTAGATCTTGAAATTTTATTCCACGTGGGTAGAAATCGTAATAGCTATTTAAGAATTTGAACTCATTTTTTAAAAAAGAGAAAAATATAAGGATTTTGAGAGTAATGGATAAGTGAGGGAGTGAGGATATGAGTAGGAGAGATTTAAAGCTATGAAGGATTGGATGGAAGGGGGAAAATTGAATGTTAGGGTAAGGGAATTTTATGGGGGATATTGGAGATGTTTGAAGGTGAGTGGAGAGTCTGGAGACCAGTCCCGCTATGTTCCCAACAAAATTATCAGGATGCGACCACGTGTACACTTTGGTCTCGAGTAAGTTCAATTGCAATACATCGGGAATTAATTCCCACAGAATCATAAATGCGTAAAAAAATAAAAAAAATCACATTGAATGAGTCAAAAACCTTAGCCCCTTATTTCTTAGTCGTGTATGCGTCTTTATAGGTAGGGGTGTCAATATGGGTTTTGACACGCAGGTAAACCCGTGACACGACACGAAAATTCGTGTTCGGGTTGACCCGTAAAAAAATTCGTGTCGTGTTCGTGTTGGAAAAAATGACACGCAAAAAATTCGTGTCGTGTTCGTGTTTATGAATTCGTGTTCGTGTCGACCCGTATTATTTTTAATTTTTATTTTTTTATTTTTTTTATTATTATTTTTTATTTTTTATTTATTTCGATCTATTTTTTTAAATTTTTTTGTCAATTACCGTTTTGTCCCCTATTTTGCGTGTTATTCGTGTCGTGTCGTGTCAATACGCAAAAAATTCGTGTCGTGTCAGTGTTGAAGATTTTAACACGAATGAAAATTCGTGTCGTGTTCGTGTTGATGTATTCGTGTCGTGTCGAATTCGTGTCGTGTCAACCCATATTGACACCCCTATTTATATGGGAATTTTTTTTAAATATTACTGTTGTTCCCAGTTGAGTACACCCATTTATTACAATTAGTAAAAAAAAAATTCTATTTTAACCTTTGTTTTTTTTTATAGTCCCTTCTATCTCTTAAAACTTTTCTTATTTAATATTTAGTAAAGGTACAGGTACAACGGGTATACCGAAAGTTTGCTCCCTTATTTGAACCCTGAAGATGGTTTTGCATTACCCATTGTTTAATTCAAATGGTTTTGTTTTGCCCGTTGTTTAATTCAAATAGTTTTTTTTTTGGTAAAATTCAAATGGTTTTGTTTCATCGATGTTTTCTCATTTCTTATATTTAGTCAAAAACCTTAGCCCCTTATTTCTTAGTCGTGTATGTCTCCTTATTTGAACCCTTGAAGATGGTTTTGTTTTGCCCATTGTTTAATTCAAATGGTTTTGTTTCATCGATGTTTTCTCATTTTTTATATTGAATAAATATCATTTTTGGTCCCTAACAAAAAATACGGTCCCCACTTTAGTCCTTTACAAAAATAAATTAGTCAGTTAGTCCCTAACAAATTTAAAGTGGACCCATTTAGTTGAAATCGTGGTCCCTCACAAATTCAAAAAAGACCCATATTAGTCCCTCAAAAGGACTAAAATGGGTCCACTTTGAATTTGTTAGGGACTAACTTACTAATTTATTTTTGTAAGGGACTAAAGTGGGGACCGTGTTTTTTGTTAGAGACCCAAAAGGGTATTTACGCTTTTATATTTTAGAGTAAACACCCTTTTTGGTCGTGGCAGTATTTACGAAATCTTTTTTAGGCTCTGTTAATAAAAAAAGATCAAATTGGTCCCTAAAATTATGAAAAAAGGGCAACGTTAGTCCTTATGTCAACTCCTCCGTCACTAACGTGGCCCTTTTTACATACTGTCAGGGACCAATTTGATTCTTTTTTATTGCCAGGGACTAAAAAAAATTTAGTATATATTGCCAGGAACCAAAAAGGTGTTTACTCTGCATTTTATTAATGTGTGTTTCTGTCATGGAATGTTGATTGACGTTTTTATTTTCTAATCTGCATGACTTTTCGCGCTTTCCTTACGATTTTAGATTAAAAAAAAATCGTAGCAATCAAAGATTTTTGTATATAATTAAGATGATCATGTGATATTGAAAAAATCATAATTATATAAAAGGTGAATCAATGATGATAAATAAAGAAAGAGAGAAAATATGAAGATAGGTAATTATAAAATTATCTCTGTTGATTTTCCTTTGTATAGTGAAGATTCTTCCACATCACATGGTCATATTAATTAAAACATAAGAGGATACATTTTCATTTAGAAAATGGATCCTTTCATGTGTTAATTAACATGACCATATCATGTTGAAAAATCATAATCATATAAAGATATATCAATGGTAATAAATAAAAAAAGAAAGAAAACATGGAGATTGATAATTACAAAATTATCATCTTTGATTCTCATTTGTATGATTAAGATGTCTTCATATGACATTATGATGTTAATTAAAACATAAGAGGATACATTTTCATTTAGGAAATGGATCCTTTCATATGTTAATTAACATGACCATGTTATGTTGGGAAGTCGTAACCATACAAAGGTGGATTAATGATGATAAAGAAAAAGAAAGAGAAAATATGGAGATAAATAATTACAAAATTCTCACTATTGATTCTTTTTTACATGATTAAGATTTCTGCAAATGACATATTCATGTTAATTAAAATATAAGAGGATACATTTTATGTAATTTGAGTTTGGCTATTTACTTCCATTTAAGGCAAACTGATATTTTTCTTTTGTCGTTGGGTTAGGCATTAAGAATTAGTTTAGGATTTTCAATAAAAAAGAAATCAAGCGTTAGTTGCATAAAATAATGAAATATTAGGAAAATGAAATTGTAAAAAAATTACAAAAATATCAGAAAAGATAAAAATCAACGATAGTGAAATAATAATAAAAATAAGTTTAAGGTTCGTAAGTTTTTATTTCATTTAACTATTATTGTTATTTCATTACGTTATTGAATTTTTTAATATATTTATAAAAACAAAAGAATCATTTAAAATTTTCAATAATACTTTTAACTCAAATATCATTTTTGTTAACTTCAAATTTTCCACTAAAAGGACTTAGTCGTGACGACTGATAGCTCTTTGTTTTTAATGATGATTATTTTTATTTTGATAATTTGATGATCTAAACCTCTTTTTTTTTTTTTTGGTAAGCGATCTAAACCTCTTTTAAAATTAATCTTTGTGACCTCTGTTTTAATTATTTAATATAAAAATATAAAATATAAATTTATTTTATTTTAAATAAAAGGATTAACGGATTTGAAATAACTTTTGATCCGATGCTTTTTACATAAGGTCATTTTACTTGTAATAATTTATGATTTAAATCTTTTAAAATAAATGATTAACTGAGCTGAAAGCCTGAAACTACTTGTTCATCCTATGCCTTTTACATAAAGTCATTTTGGCTGTGTTGTAGTCGTAGACTGATTATCTAAACTCTTTTGAAAAAAAATAAATTATTGTGACCTCGTTTCATTAATTATTGATTTTTCAAAATAATAAATTAACAAAAAATTATTTATTTCAAATAAAATGTTGGTTAAGCTGTGACAGTTTGTTAATTTTATTTGAAAGTTACTTAGGTGGTGATAGTCTCATGATTTGAAATTTTAAAAATAACTTAATTAATAATACAATTAATTTTGTTAATTAGTAAATAATTTTTAAAAAGTATAATATCAAAAATTAACTTATTTTTAAAAATGAATAATTAACCTAAGACAAATTATCTTATTCAGAGTTATTTTAACTGTGATAACCTTATGATCTAAAACTTTCAAATTCAATCAAATGATTTTCTAAAATAAAGTTATAATTTCAAAAGTATTTTCAAAATTAAACTCAATCAATCACAGATATTTTATTAAGACAGAGTAATTTTAATTTTTTCATCGCATCAATCACAAATATGTTGGAACCCGGTGAAGCCAAATTACAATGTTCATAATTGGTTTTGCATTTATTATTTATTCATTTTATTTTATTCTATTTTTTTGATGAGCAAATTTTTTTATTTATAAGTGAATTGCATAATTAAATTAAGGTAAACCATTTTAATATTTGTATTATAGGGTCAATGATAACTTTTCACTCTTCCCTATACATAATAAAGTCTTAAACCGTAATCTAAAATATGTTTTTCTTAATTTTTTCAAATTCTCAAATAAAGTTGATGGCCACTCCATTATCTACTAATATAAATATATATAACAACAGATAATATATATGTTAATTAAGGTGTAATTAATTAAATTTCATGCCTACAATTCAAACAACAAAATAACTTAAATAATGAAGTGTTGGTGCTTTTCATGGAAGTGATTTAAAATTTCAATACTGAAATCTTGATTCTTGAATTGAAAATTCTTTGTTCTGATCGATCTTGAATCATGACAACATAATATATAATGAACCAAGTGAAATCAACGTTGCATATATCATATGCACAAATTTTCAGCACAGAAAAAGTACACTTCATAAACTCTAGCTAGTACTAGCCCTCGTCCATAATTTTGAAAATTCAAACGCTCATTCCTCTATTTTTATATAAATGCATGGCCATGAACCACATCGTTTAAGAAATCTCAAAGTACAACATAGAAATTGCTTGAAGATTTCCTAAAGAGAATGGACAAAAAGACAAGTCCAATGTATTTACCATTCACTGCAACAATCATAATTGTATTGACAGCATCAAACATGTTAGTTTGTGGAGGAGAATGGAAACCCACATGGAGCACCAGAGCTGCTGAAGAAGCAGATGATGTGGCAGCCATACCATGCTCAGGACATGGAAGAGCCTACTTAGATGGTTTGATTCTCAATGGACATGACCCTGTTTGTGAATGCAATCCATGCTATGGTGGCTCTGATTGCTCCAAGTTTTTATCTGATTGTGCTGCCGATGCTGGAGGGTAAATTAACCTTTCTCACAAACTTGATCTGAAGTTCTAATTTAACCAATGATCCCATTGCAATAGTAGTTAATTTTGCTCCTTTCTCTATCCCTAAATTCATCAAATAACTGTCTTATATTACATTTAGACTTAACAAAAAGGTAATGTAACATAAGTTTGCCTTCTTTTGTTCTTGTTATTCCTTATGTACTAAAAAAATTGAGAGTTCATTAAATCTAGTTACGTATCAACCCACTATTTTATTGGAGGAGGGTTATATTAATAAATTTTTTTTTTTCAAACTACGTTATGTCTTACCGGTAAGACTTTAATCAACAATATCTTACCGATAAGACATAGTGTAGTTTATAAGAGTTTGTAAACAAAAAATTATAAATATAACCTTCTCCAATTTATTGTCTTGTCTAAGTTAGAGTGAATTTTGTTTTCCTCTCTCCGTCTTATAAAATTTCCTGAATTTCCATTATGACAAATGGAATGTTGAATTGTTCTTTTTTGACACCTATGCGTGTGTGCATGGTATATTTATACCGTTATTAATTTTTTTTTTTTTTATATGTTAAATTTAAATCCACTTAACCTTTGAATTAAAAGTTTTCATGAAATAGTCTCCCAAAAAAAAGTTTTCATGAAATAGATTAAGTTTGTAAAATTTTATTGTACTACTTTATTCTAATGTCATGATATTTTCAAAAAATAAATAATTTTTTATCATTAAATTAAATTCTAATGAATGTTTGATTCATATAAAATTTAATATACATGATCGATAAGGCATATATCATATAACTTCATAATTTAATTGCTTAAATTCACATTTGACAAAAGTTCATTATAAATGTATTAATTAGACTTAATTGTTTCAAAAAGTTCAAGATTACAAACAAAACAGAGGCAAAAGAGAACATTGTAAGTATGATGTTTGTGATCAGACCATTTACTGGATCTGTTTAATTATTGCAGTGGGGATCTATATTTTTTGGAACCATTTTGGATGCAACATGCCGCAAGTAGTGCAGTTTTAGTGTCAGGGTGGCACAGAATGGGTTACACCTATAGTGATGGATCATACATCTCACAACTTTTGGTGAAGCACATCCAAAAAGTTCATGAAATTGTTGGAAATGCAGTCACTGATGGAAGGTACATCATATTTGGAGGTGGCTCAACCCAACTCCTTAATGCTGCTGTTTATGCCTTGTCTCCTAACTCTTCAGCATCTCCAACAAAAGTGGTAGCCACAGCCCCATATTTCCCAGTGAGCTCCATTAATACTCCTTTCTTCATGTATAGATTTATGTTTAATATCCAAATGACAGTAGATTTTGCAAACTCCTGAAAAGAATGGAGAGGCTCAAATCTAAAACCGAATTAGTTGGACATATTAGACTTTTAGATACTGGTATCTAAAAGGATTTATGTTTAGTTCATGAAATTAATAGATAGATGATAAACTGAAAAGGGTGTTTAAGGTTATAAGTACGAGTTCGTTTTGTATGCGGTGAATGCAAATAAGTTATAGTACAAAACGATGTCGTTTTGGGACAAAAATCAATGTGTATTTGTAATTTTAATTTATTTCATGATTACAGTCGTCTTTATCATTATAATTTTTTAATCTTTCAGTTTAAAATGACAACTTTTTGGGAGTAGTGAAACATTTTTCTTAATTATTCGTTGTTGAATTTTCTGTTATTTTGATAATTGATTTGAGAGTAAGGGTTTTTTTGTTATCAATTTTAACTCTTCTATTTAGTAACATAATAAACTCATCATAAACTTTTATTGACAGAGCTACAGAACACAAACAGAGCTTTTTAATTCAAGGGATTATAGATTTGAAGGGGACACATCTTTGTGGAAGAACATCTCAGATCAAACCACAAGATTTATTGAGTTTGTGACTTCACCAAACAATCCAGATGGAAAGTTGACTAAGGGAGTTCTTCATGGCCCAAATGTTAAAACCATTTATGATCGTGCCTATTATTGGCCACATTTCACTGCTATTCCTTCACCAGCTCATGAAGATCTCATGGTGTTTACAATTTCCAAATTGACAGGCCATGCTGGCAGTAGATTCGGGTGAGTTATGCTATTTTGAATAGTTGGTCATCCTCGAACTGAATTAGTTGAATCAATAAACCAGTAAAAAAATAAAAAATTGACTTTGGTATTGGTAATTTGATATTTGATTGATAGACAGAATTTGTAGGCTTCAGACCCTCTGTTCATAAATTTATTAAAGGGAAATGTTATTCTTATAAAAATTTTTTTGCAAGAACCGATTATAATTATGTATTTTTGAGAATATATAATTATAATCGTAAAGTTATTTTTTTCTTTTTTTTTTCAGTCAATAGACAATTTATGAAGAGAAAAAAAAAGCTTATCTCCAAAAAAAAAGAAAAAACTTTAAGATTATAATAGGTTGCTGCAAAAAAATAGTTTTGCAGCAACATAAAGAAAAAGGAACCTTTTATTAAAAGATAAAAAAAAAAATATGTTCAAGATTGTTGTGTATTGTTGTGTTTTCATTTTACAGATGGGCAATAATAAAGGATGAGGCTGTATATCAAAAGATGTTAACATATTTGCAATTAAACACTATTGGAGTTTCTCGTGAGGCTCAGCTACGGGCTTTAAAGCTTTTGGACGTGGTTCTCGAAGGAGATGGAAAAGAAATATTCCAATTTGCTTATACAGCCATGAGAGATCGCTGGATAAGGCTGAAACAAATCATATCTAAGTCAAAACGTTTTTCTCTACAGAAACTATCTCCCCAATACTGCTCCTTTTTCAAGAGGAGTAGGGATCCTTCACCAGGTAAATGTCAATTATTTTTTAGGTCGAGCCACCTAGTAAAGTTGTTCTTTTTTACAGAAAGTTCACGAATTAGAGTCACAAACTATTTGTAAAAAATATAAGGATAAAATTACATATAATCAACCATCATCCCTATCCTTAAGTCTGAAATCTTGTGCATTGTTGGGATTTGTCCCTTGCACTTTTATGAATATGTATTTTGAGAGTTTTATTAATCTCATATTAAAGGAGACAAGTTATCTCATGTTATAGAGATAAATTTGTGGGCTCCATCATCTAAAAAATAAAAAGAAAAAAATAATGTGGAACAATTAATGAAGGAGTGTGTATGAGAAAAATTTATCACATCTAGCATAAGAATAGTTTTTCCCATATTTTTGTTGACCTTCTCAATTTTGATCAGGTCTTACACTACTCATTTCATGAATTTTACGAGGAATTTTATTGAAGTTTAATTTCACCCCAATATGAGATAAACAATTATCCTACACACAAAAAGAGATTGGGTCCCACCACTCTTTTTTTTCTCTCCTCTTATCTATGGGTCCCATTTATACTTTTATTTCTATAACATGAGGTAATTTTTACCTTACAACATAAGAAAAATATATCGCATAATTTTTTTGTTTGAGTAAAATACATGTAATGAAACATCTTGTGTCTTTACTAAATATTTTGGTTTCAATTTCCTCACATGCAGCATATGCTTGGTTGAAGTGCGAGAGAAAAGAAGACAATAATTGCTATGAAATCCTAAAAGTTGCAGGAATCAATGGCAATCAAGGCAGTGTCTATAGTGCTGATAATCGTCACGTGCGTCTCAGCCTCACTAGGAGCCAAGATGATTTTGAGATTCTAATAAACAAGCTAAGAAATCTTGTTTCTAAAGAGTAGGGACCCAAATAAAATTAACAATCAGTGTCAGAATATGATAGGATATAAGCTGAAATGACAGTACAGTTATGCAGTTGAGCATTGCAGCAGAAGAATTAAAATGCCTATACAACAATGCAGTTGAGTATTGCAGTTAGATAGTGATACAAATAGGAGAAATAAGTAGAGTTAGAAAGTTAAGAAGATTGTAGTGAAAGTATACACGATGTGCTCAAAGTGTGTATGTAAATTGAGTCAATAAACACACTTTAAAATATGGGTTTAACGTGTGTGGTTTTAAAGGATACAAGATTGTGTCGTTTTAGCATTTATAACTATGTACTATGGTAGTACATAGTTATAATATTAAAGTTGTACTATTTTCACTTTTCACATCAGCAGTCAGCTTCTCAAGAAAGAAAAAAAAATACAACTTTAGTATTATCACTATATATATACTAGTCGTAGTAGATAGTTATAACTGCTAAAAGGACACAACATGCCCTTTAAAAAGACAACTTTTTCCTTAAAATATACACGATCAATTAGATAGTATGGAATGAGAAGGAAATGTTTCCAAGGAGAAAATTGCTTAGTGAAGCACATTGTAAAATTAGCTAGTGCATGCAAGAGAATAACCATTGATCAATTATGTAATGAAAAGTACAGATAGCTTCTATAATTAAAACGATGGAAATCTAACAATATTAAGAGAAGATGAAATAAAAGGAGGATATCACTGTTACGAATGGGTTAGGCTTCGATTTCCTCAAAGACATTAAGGGGGTGTTTGGTTCAGGTTAAATTTTTTTTACTAGGAAAAAGTAATTGATAGGAATCTGCGAGAAAAGTGAGTTAGATAGGAAAATTTTAAAAAAGATGTTTGGTTGGACAAAATTTTACCAGAGAAATTAAATGAAAATCCTGAAAGTGTGTTTGGTTGAAAATAAAATATTGATGGGAAAAGTTCTTGAAATTACGAAATTATCCTTTCAAAAATAACCCTGTATTAAAACCAAATGTACCAACGGCAATAAATAATGGAGCTCCATCTTAGTCCATCTCTTGTGTCGTCTCTGTCTCTCGTTCCAAGCTGACCCTGTATTATTCTTTCTTTTTGCTTTCAATTCAAACTGGTATTATTCGAATAGTTGAAAAAAAGACCTCCCACTTAACATAACAAAAATCGATTCTTACTGCAAAGGATGAAAGTTCCTTAAAAAGTTTTCTCTTTTGCCATAAAACCAAGACAAGGGATGAAAGAGATACATCCATTTGCTTACCTCATCTTCGTGCAAAGCATAATGCATGGAAGTGAAGGGAGGGCCATAGCTGAAGGGACCAAAACCCTTGTCTGTAGGCTTTTGGGTATCCAAGAAACTACCTTGTATTGTGGAACACAAGGTACTACCATCTCTAGAAAGAGGAAAAACAAAATCATAGAGCTGAGAAATGACAGTGGCCATTGGATCAAAGATGATAATAGCAAGGGAATTTTTCATTCACGCGGTTCATACTAGTTTCCACCCTATTCTGATGCGAACAATCTTGAGTGATGTACCCTTTTCTGCAAACTTTGATCAGGGGTAATGTGGTCACCGTTTTTACCACTTGATAAACTTATCGAGATTTCAGAAAAATACCACCTCTCAAAGTGCTTTCCGGAACAGTATTTTTCACACAAATAACATGCAATACTGGATAGATAGGCAATTGGCATTGATGGGTAAATTTCATCAAATCAATTAACCAAACATGGACACTAGACAAAGTCAGAATCACTTTGATGGGAAACTCAGCAAAACACCTGAACCAAACACTACCTAAACTAAATGACAATACTCAACCTTTGCTATATCAACCTAAGTCAATTATCCAGGTGAATTATAGTAGCTTACATTTCCTAATGTTTAACTAATTTGCGCCGAAGATTTCCAATGATATATTTCTATATCAATTTAGATCCAGTTGTTGGGCTTCCTCTTTCAATGCTAAGCTCAAGCTCTTCGAGGGGTTTCCTAAAAATCCTAACCCTAGATCTCACCTCCTCTATATATTCATTAGCTGAGGGTGGAGGCTAGGTTAAGAGATTAGAGAGAAAAAATTTGAGAGAACTATTTGATAGATTTGAGCAAAGCTTTATGCTTTGTATTTGAGAGATCTCTAGAGAGAGTTTGAGTGAAACATCTCTAGGGAGGTTTGATTATCACCATTGTTGGAGAGGTTGACTTAACCACCATATTGGTGATTCTGATTATTTGTAACCATTATTTTCATAGTGGATTTTTTGATCTGGACTAGGTCCCGTGGGTTTTTACTTCTTTATTGATGAAGGTTTTCTCACGTTAAAACTAGTTGTGTTCCCTTTCTCTCTCCTGTTTTTCGTTTTGATTTTTCCGCTGCGCTGTCAGACTTGGTAAAGTTCAGGCCGAGGTATTGCCGAGATCCGAGATCAGGATCTTGTTGATTGACTTCCGCACAAAAGGCTCCTGAGCCGATCTGAGGGAACCGTTTTTTCCCTACAGTGGTATTAGAGCCCGAGTTCGACAGGTTCCGAGGGAGACGAGATGGAGACCAGTGGCATAACCAATGATAGAGACATGTTCAAGTTGACCGCAGATAATTTCACCAATTGGAGACTGATAATGGAAGATCATTTCTACTGTAAAGATTTACATGAGCCCATTATCCTTGATGAGAGACCGGCAGGCAAAACTGATAAGGAGTGGGAGATCCTGAGTTGGAAGGCGGTAGCCACGATCAGGAAATATATTGATAAAAGCCTCTTTGAGCACGTGTCCGAGTTCACGAACGCGTATGAGTTGTGGACGAAGTTGGAGTCCATGATTCAGAGGAAGACTCCCAGGGAAGGAGGCACCAGAGTCAACAATCCAGGTGCAGTCATCATATGCAACATTCAAATAATTATCCTCACCAAGGAGGAATATCCCGGCATCCGGGTTGGCAGCCACCGCAGTGGTGCTCTTGTCTTCCCTCTTCTTGGAAATAATCTGATCCGGCTTCACAGAGTCGTTCTTCTCATCATTCTGCAGGGTCCAGTAGTCTGGCTTCTTATGGCCTGTCTTTCCACAGTAAAAGCACTTAAACTCATATTTCGGCTTTGACCGACCTCTAGATTTTCCTCTTCTGTCACGATCTCGACCCCGACTTTTTCTTCTACGACGGGAGTTGGATTTCCCTTTGTTTTCAGCAATGTTCGCCTCAGACGTGCTTGAAACACCTCGTTCTCTTCTCCTGACTTCTTCACTCAAAAGACTATTTGTCACGACATCCATCTTCTCCTTCTGGAGCTGAATTACTCAAAGTCACCACCAGAGTATCCCAGCTTTCTGGCAGCGAGCTCAACAGCGGCAAAGCCTGCATCTCATCATCGATTTTCATCTCAGATTTTGACAGCTGATTCACAATACCTTTATAGGTGTTGAGGTGTTCAATCATGCTCATGTCGTCCTTGTCTTCAAGCTTCACAAGTCGGCGAACCAGGTATGTTACTCTACACAAAGGTTTTTTCTCCTCTTACCGAGGTGGTGATTTTGGAGTCGTGAAGATGGGAAATCAAGTGACCAGCAAGATTGTTGGTGTCGGTGATGTAACTCTGACCACGGATGTCGGATGCCGACTTATGTTGAAAGATGTAAGGCATGTTCCTGACATGCGTTTAAACCTAATCTCGGTAGGCAAACTTGATGATGCCGGGTTAGTAAACTACTTCGGTAGTGTTAGATGGAAGTTGACCAAGGCAAACTTGGTCGTGGCCCGAGGTAAGAAGGAAGGCTCCTTGTACGTGATGCAAGGAAAGATCAATGGCGAAGAAGCCAATTCTGTCCGAGATGAACCTAGCTTGGAGCTATGACACAAGCGCCTCGGCCACATGAGTGTGAAAGGGCTCCAAATCCTACATAAGAAAGGACTACTGACTGGGTTGAAAGGCCAAGTGTTGGAGAGTTGCACGCATTGTCTAGCTTGAAAGCAGCCCCGGGTTTCTTTTGTGAGACCGGATCAACCCAGACGACGCAGGTATATTCTTGACCTCGTCCATACTGATGTCTGCTCCATGTCGGAAAGATCCCTTGGAGGAGCTCAGTACTTTGTTTCATTTATTGATGACCATTCCCGCAAAGTATGGGTATATTTGTTGAAGTCTAAAGACCAGGTACTCCAATCCTTTAAAGAATTCCATGCAATGGTTGAAAGAGAGACTGGCAAGAAATTGAAGGTGGTCCGATCTGATAATGGTGGTGAGTATTGCGGCCCTTTTGATGCATATTGCAGAGCAGCCGGGATCTGACTTGAGAAGACGCCCCCCAAGACTCCACAGTTGAATGGACTTGCTGAGAGGATGAATAGAACTATTGAAGAGAAGGTCTGAAGTATGTTGTCCAATGCCAGATTGCCGAAATCATTCTGGGGAGAAGCCGTCAAAACAGCTGTTGACTTGATCAACCTCTCACCATCACGGCCACTTGAAGGAGAAATTCCAGAAGAAGTCTGGACAGATCGGAAAGCGGCCTATAATCAATTGAAAGTGTTTGGATGCCGAGATTTCATGCATATCCCTAAAGATGAAAGGGCAAAACTTGATGCGAAGACAAAAGAATGCATCTATCTTAGTTCGCCAAGATGTGAGTTCGGGTTCCGACTTTGGGATCCAATCAATAAGAAGATAGTGAGAAGTCGAGATGTGATCTTTCATGAAGATGAGAACATTCATGACATCTCGAAGCCCAAAGTCTGAGTTACTGTCAGACGCGAAGAACCCAATCCTCATGTCCGAGCTAAGGCAGGTGGAGAAAATCAAGAGAATCACTACAAAAAAACAGACATGTTGCGGCGGTTCATTTTGGTATACGCGACGGTTAGAACCGTCGCTAAATGCATTTTTGCAATTAGGGGCGGTTGTAACCGTCGCGTATACCAAAAATGAACCGCCGCTAAATGCCTATTTTTTTGTAGTGAATGAAGAAATTGATGACCAACAACAAGCTGAAGATGACCAAGAC